AACTACCGTGAAGCAGTGCTTCGAGTTTTCCGTCTTCTTTCCACTGTTGCCGACACAAGCGCCAGCTGTCCTGAACTGACGGCGACAGTTCGTATGTCGTTATATATGAATCTGGGTGTTATCGTGAAATCTAACCCACTTGAGAACAAATCATTTTATTTATATTGGAATTACACTTTGGACTTTACTATGTATGAATTAGGTCAGACCTGTCTGACAGGACAAAGGATATTTGTCTTCCAGTCCCTTGACCTGATGCTTGCTACTTTGTCCGGTTTTCACATTCTATTCTATTTCCATCATTAACTATAAGCAGAACATAAATTGTAAGAGGTAGTTGCCCCTTTACTTGGAGTAATAATATAATGAAATGTATGCTTAACTATTACAATACGAACGTCAACAAAAATGTTGTTATGTGGATGCGGTCAATCACGAAAAGGATTAAATGCACCCGAACTGTTTTAAATACGATATAACGAAATACTCACATTGTAAGTTATCATAGAGTTCATGTGAATTTTCTCTTTATCTACAAGCAATCAATTAAAATCAAATACCCTTGTCGACAACCGTCGTTTCTCCCGTTGATAAAGATGAAGTCCACAGTATTTATTGGCCTAAAGGTGGACATTAGAGTGTAGTCAGCTGTTTGACTTAAACAAGAAATTCCAATTAGTATTCCAGCTTACATTGAAGTAAACGGAACAATAAATATCCAAAACTAAAATACTAAGCCAGAAACTATTTTGCTCTTAAAAGTTCCTTTATTTCATTACCGACTTTCTTGGTGCGGTAGGAATAATGAGAAGGTGAGGCCTTGTTTGGTTGGTAGCAAAACTATATATAATATTTATAACAAGCGCTCTTAACATCAAAATAACGTAGTCAGTGGGGCTGCTCTAAACAACGAATGGCAAAAGTGGCAGTTTATGCTCTTCAGATGTATTTTTAGGTTAAACTACTAACTTACAAAATATAGTGATAATATTGCCTGGTACACAAACCTGATCCCTCGTGATAAACTGTCATAAGATATTAGTATCAAAGGGAGGATGAGTGGTAAGCAATCCTATGAAGTTATTGGCAGTCGTATTGATATGACAGAAGGAACAGGTGGTGGGTGTAACTTTAAACTCGCTCGGTAGTAAGCTATAATTTCGGGTAGAGCTCTCCTGGTGTGCAGCCAGCTATATGACAATTGCCAAACAGCGGGGAGTAAAAATCATGGTATCGAACGGTGCTCATGGTAACGGGCATCAAATATGTGGCCCTGATGACATAACATGGTGCTGAGGAAAAGCCATCACGGAAATAGCTCATAATACGAGTGCTCGTATAAACTAACCAACAGATAATCGAGGCGGTGTTTGTGATATTATCCAACATGGCTCGCACGTAGACGTTTCGGTGTCAGGCTAGATAACATCACCAACACGGCTACCTAGGCCATGATTGCATTTCTTTACAAAACCGATCTCAAGATCCAAGAAATTGGAGGTCACGCTCGGTCTTTACTTTCGAGTTTTGATGAGCTCGTTGTAGCAGTAGTTTTGGAAGAACCTGTTTGGTTTATCTCAGTAGAAGTGAGTTTTTTCGGTGTTCATATGATTGACATTAGTGATTTCTTATCATAACGGCGAATCGCCAGGTCATGTTCATGGGACATTGTGCGCTCCGTCCCGCATAATGTTTGTCACAGTCTCGGTAACAAATGGGGTATATATTTTTCCTAACGTAGTTTTTGCAATTTATTTTCTTTCGTTATTAGACATTTAGAATTTAGGAGGCGATACATGTCTGTCATTTCAGAGATTTAGTTGAGGCATAGCGTGGCTATTTTGCAAATGTTTTGGTGCATTTACTAAGTTAAGTAATACAGAAGGTGTCGTTTTGAGCACGACGTCAGTTTGAACCGCCTGGAAAAATAATCTTCCTGTGCCTGCGTCACCTGCGTATCGCTACACTGTGCGTAAGAATTCCTGAGTATCATTCTAACACAACCGTGCTTTTAAGTTGTCTGATTATTGCGACCTTATTTCAAGATCATATCTGCATGCGTTGATTTTGTTAGACCCTCGTTTATAGTGTCCCGTTAAAAGTTCTTTCTGTGAGAACGAATAAGGTTTGTACTTTCCATATTTATCCTCGTTCCTGGTGAAACGGATTCTATCAAAATGTTTGCTACTTTGTCGATTTTCCTCCAGTTCCAGTTCCTCCGGCTACTTCAACTAGTTTATGATGATAATGATGTCTTTTGCGTTTTGCGTTGAAAGTTTTGGTTTCGCGGTAGTGTGCTTTTCCATTAAAGCACTTTCATCATTGTCTCTGTTAAAATTCAAAAATTGGCGGTTATATTAATTTACCTCTTAAATGATTGTATCAGTTGCTGTTAAAACTGAAATGTGCTGTTAGCAGAATCGCAGGAAATATAACATTAGCTTAGCATCGATTTTAATGCTTATATCATAGGATGCGCGTTCTTCTATTAGAACCACCGTTTGTATCGTCATAGTGTTGTCGATTACCTAAATCCACGTTGATGCCTAAAGGAAGACCATTATTTCGTCCCATACTAATGTTTGTGTGTTCTGTGTTCTGTTCTGTCAGGTAGGCTGAGCTTTCTGAAACCAAAACTAGATGTAGCCGCCACTAGGTTTTGTTTATCAATTTGTAAATCGGCGCTTCAGTAGACTAAGCGATGGGGCGGAAAACCACCTGTCTTTTAGACACTTTATACAGACCGTAGAGCGGCGATATGACAAAGTCTTGTGGTTTTATTGTTTTGTGGTCCAATGTTGTAATTTGTCCTATTTTTTCCAATATGTGTCAAGTGGTTTGCTATTACTTTACAGGCGTTTTGGAGCGGTATATTTAAGTATCGTTCAGTAACTGCTGCGTACCAGAAATGTGATATAGGTTTTCCCTGCCGGTTGTATAAACGTACCGTTGGTTTATCCCAAGCTCATCAGTGTTTTGTCCAGTAGCGTAAGATTTTCGTATTAGCTTTAAAACTGAGAGTTCGCTTGATCCAATGACTGGTCTTTGTTAAACTTACTATTCCACTTTGAGAACACAACAGCTCTTGAACGACTAGACATCAGCTAAATAATAACCACATCAAAACTCGAAATTAAACGCCGAAGGTGCACATCCGGCACTTGGATCCAAAGATAGAATTTGAAAATCTACAAACCTGGCCCATATACCTGCACCGAGGTTGTATTCTTACCTGGAAACAATACGCCTGTACGTCAATCAGTCAAATCGAAGAACAGGACTAACTGCCTCAACATCCCTGGATGGAACATTTCCATCTGTACAATTAATTTAAAATCTTCTAGCACCTGTTGCAATGAACCATGATGATAACCTCCTAGAGGATACCTGCAAATCTAATACAAGATAATCTGCTATCATTGCAAAAGAGTGAAATAGACAAGCTATAGTTAAACCCTAAAGAATCACCTTTCCGTAAGATACATGTTCAGATACCAGTACTAACATCGACAACATCTTTTGTACTTATACGAGAATAAAACTATCCCAACCTATGGCATGAATAACACTGTGCATATGGGTTTACCTATTCTACGGATGATTTTAATCCCTACTGCACCATACGAAAGTCTAGATGCAAAGGCGTTAGTCTTGACGATGGAATTATTATGCAGGCTTAATCCTTGAAATTTGTGATATGAAAGACTGAATCATAACTTGCGTTTACCTTTAGTTTGGAGCTCGCAACTACTAGATGATTATTTGAAGCGTCCACGTTGGAGTCACATAAAATTCGTCTAAATTATAGATGTCTTTTTTAGCTCCATCATAGTGAATATGGCTAGGTCACTGTGTCCTCATCACGGAGTTCAGGGGAAAACGACAAAATGCTTTGTAGCTTGTAACCATGTAACAAAACGGGTGTAAGGCTAGGATATATATATTCTATCAAGCAAAGCTAAGTCATCTGTACAAGTCAAATGGTTGACAAAGAACATTTAATAAAGACTTCAGTTCACGGTTTGCTGAACCTGAGGTGACTAAATCAAATGGCTTTCACAAGTAAGGAGAAAACTGTATGAGACGATTATTGTCCTACTAAGCAAAATGTCGAGCTGTGTGAGATAAGTTGATGACGCCGAGTTGGATACAAACAAAATGCAAAGAAAGGAGGTAACAACGGAGAATATAGGCAAATTATTGTACAACCCATAAAATCTGTGATTTTATAAAGAAATTCTTTACTTTTAAACTCTAAAGACTTCTGCAAATGCTGCAGGCAAATTATATTAAGGAAGTAGTTTCAATGTTTAATGCTTCCTTATCAAGACACTATGACTGTGTTCAATTCGGTTTCTGACCAACTTATCGAGCAGAAAGAGCTCAGCTTCAAGTGTGGCACGTTTAAGTCGTATCCTTTTAAACGTTTGCTCTAACAAACACTAATGTTGCTAGATTACTTATGAAGTTGGTAAACATAGACTTTGCCCACTTTTTATGGAGCCGCTCTCTTCAGCTTAGCTGAACCTAAAGCGATCGGACGAAAAACCTACTGTCTTGCGTTATCCCACTGTTCTGAGTTTTGTAAGGTGATCATTGCGATGAAGATTCCCTGGCGGTTACCAAAATTCGCATACCTATTTCAAGAGCTAACATTATCCCACCAAACTGCACTCGTGGATTGGTGCGGTTTCGCAGTGCGGCGTTTAGTGATAACAGAGAGTATGCAGTTGAAAAATTTGCCCAAATATGTCCTATTTAGCCTGTGAAAATAACTGGCTTGCAGGGCTACTTACAAATTATTATCCACTAGTTATTCCTTATATTTTACAATTTGTGAGTTTATGTACTCTGGAAGTTATTTTAATGTATAAGTATTGCTGAGGAAGCCCGTTTATTGTGAGACATGACCTGTGTTAAACAGCTAAAATTTTCAAAGATCAATCCATCCTGGTCGCTCAAGGTAAAACTATAATGTACTGCTCTTTTAAAACCCAGACTTACCTCATTTTTAAATCATCTGTTGATAAAATGACATGTTGGAGAAGCTGCAGCGCTTGAGCGTCCAACAAACGAAGTTTTTGGACGAACAAATACCAGTTTCTAATATCGCGCTTTTCTTTGGTAAAAGCAAGAGCAAGTAGCTCTTCCTTCATCTTCAATACCATTTCCATTGTGAGTGATTCTGCGTTAGTTGTCTTCTGAAATAATCTTTTAAAATGGCCTGGAGTAAAAATTAAGATAAAAATTGAAATGATCGTCATCTAAGGTCGTGGTTTAAAACTGAAATCTGCTAAACTTCAGTGCTTTTTTGGCACAACACGATCTTTTCTAGTCACAGACCAGAGGAACTGAGGTGCTGCGATCCACTCGCGTGTGAAACATCCGTTTCCCGTAACCTATCAGTTAGCTTGGGTTCAGTCTCAAAATAAATAGTATATACAGTAGCGATAAGAGTATAAACATCTTAGAAGGGGCAGATGAATCTTTAGCGGCACAAGTCAGCGCTATGTTAATAATAGATGTAACAAAACGTCTTACGTGTTCCGATCTTTAGTCAGAAGGAACTACAAGCTTTTCATCCGTAATATTCCAAACGCAGAGTTTCCAGTTCTAGATGGATTTGTATGATTTGACAGACGTAGCAATCAGACGTGTGCACACGATTTGGGGATGGAGACGAAAAGCCTAAAACAATACGACTGCATCGACTCCTAGAAATAACTGGCTGATAGAAGCGTGCATTTACTGATACTGTAAAAGACCAATACGTTTTATGCTCCATCGTAATTAGAGCTCAAGGGCATTGCAGTGTAACGCACAGAATGTGGAGGAATATGAATAATAGCAGGACATGTGAGTTACTACGTAGTAGAGTAGTTGCCTGAAGAAAACACAATTGCTTTCCGTGTTGTTTGAGGATTGCTTTGGTGGGGTCTGCGAAGCTATTAGTCGTATATAATATCGGTTTCAAATGAATAGATCTCAGCTGTAACCTGCGCAGTTTGTGTAGTCAAAAAAGGAACAGTATTGCAGTGGCGAGCTCAGCGCGAGTTTGGCAGAGCCGTTCGAGTTCAGCAACATTAAATGTGATGTTTGTTTCTTACCAACCGTAATATAATGTCAGTAGATTGGCTCTAGGTGGGTATGGACAGCCCAATCTTCTGTGGTCTGAATACGAACAGGGTTACTTACAAAGGTTAATACGTTTGCCAGCGCAACACCTGTTGATGATTTCTGCGGCTAAATACCATGTCCATGTTGACAATGTTCAAACTCGATGCTCTAACATTTAACTTTTAAGAAGCTTGGTAATTTTGTAGGAATTAATTAGTGTCCATTGTTTATTATGTCTTAAACCATTAGCTTTTTTAGATAACACTTATCTATCTATGGATCCAGGTTATTTCTTGACGGCTGTTAGTGTTTCTAGACTCTGATAAACTTCTAATGACTCGAACAAATTCCCGAGGCAAGCAAGCATTACCAAAAGTGCAGGACCATTTGTGAAGGATGCGTTGAACACGTAAGATTTGAGACGCTAATAGCTATAAGAATTATTAATAAATTCCTCCAGTATATCACTCTAGTGAGAGGCTATCCTACGAAAGCGGATGTTTATTTTCATAGACTGCCTTGGCCAAAACATAATCAGGTAGACACGTGCGATGAATTTATATGCACTCTGTTATGTGTGATAACTCGGTAAACTTCTTCAAGTGTTTGGCACCATGGTTTTCTGCAACCGCTGACTATGCACCATAGGCAAAATGCTATCTGCGGCAGAAGTATAGAACAGGGCGTAACCGCATTGGATTTTGCTCGTCCGGGCATTTTTGGGATTAAAAACAAAAGGCGTACTTATTTTCAACTCAATTCCGGACATGTGGTTCCCCACAAACACATTTCAATTGTTTTGAGATACTCGCAAACCGTGTTTTAATTTGTATTCAGCGTGTTGTGTACTGAGTACAAAATTGTACATCCGTCGTCTCCTGTCCATTTTCAGCTACCCGGTGTATATCACAAACTTTTAATCCTTAGGCTACTTGCCAGCCTTCCGTAAAATTTTTAATAGTGTGCACACACTGCAGGAAGATTTTACGTAATTTGCAAACTTTATTGCGTGAGGTTTAAATGGTGCGCTTTGGCCACCCTTTATCAAATGCTTAATGTTTCCGCCGGTTTTTTAGAAGTACTGCGGTTCGACAAATTATTTGGTAAATCATTGAGCTTTGGCAAAACATGATAGGGCGATGTCTGCTCTACTGCAGACAAGTATCAACACCGACGTAAAGGGAATACATCACAATAGTAGCAGTACAAGCTGATGGATACAATTCATGCTCAAACTTCCAGGAAATCTACAAGAACAGAATAGAAAATACCTCAGGTTTTGTGGTCCTCAGAAATAATCCTAGTAGCGATATTGATATTTTCTTTAATGGTTGCATACAGACGCAGTTTCGGTCGACTCAGATAAGTGGTTACGTTGCCTACTCATTCTCAGACCAACTACAACTCTAGTATCTGCCCCCACTCATAATGGTCCAAGTTAGTGGACCCCACATTTCTCAACTCCCAGGCTGCATGAGAGAATGCTGGTTAGTTTCACACACAACGTTGTGACCGCGACACTATTCACAGTTGTCTCAAGCTTAAAGCATTTTAATGCACGACGATCATGGTTTTTAAGCTATGTTCAACATCTACAGCATGTAGGCCAACTCCTTCCTGTACATTATGCTATTGAAATGCATTCTGCGATCAAATTGAGCAAAAGCCAATAATTAATGACAGCATTTAGAAAGTTTGGCAATCTAATACCTAGACGTAGCGGTTGAAATAGGTCCTATGTGAAACTCACGTGCTGTTGTAAGCACTCCGTCCGATGCTTGCATCTGTAGTAGTCTCAGCCGAACAGTTGTTATAACTGTGGTTGGTCTATCGTCAAGTAGCGAATTCACCGTACCCACGACCAACTTTTCCTCACAGTGTGAAGCAGAAATAATTCCATCGGAACCGAGGTATAATTCGCATTGTACCGTCCCGTCCATAAATGGGATCCGGCTACGTTGCTAGTTTAAAATGAACGATAGAAAAGTACTTACAAAATGCCACTGGTCTATTTTCATGCTTACGATTTCATCCAATAATTCAGTAAAATTGACCTCAAGTTATTCAGCGAAATTTTTTCGGTACAAATCCCTTTTGAGTTTATTCACGTTCTGACTACTTCCCATCTGTAATAGGCCTACTTGTGGATTATATCTTTTACGTACACAACACAACCCGAATATAGCAGTACATGTTTAGTTTCCATGAGAGTATGCCCACTTACTAATGGACATATAATTCGGGCTTCTATGAAGTGTGATTTAACAGAACAGTCAAAGTGTTTACACCTGAGAAAATGGATAGTTCACGCGCGAACACAGCTCGCCAAATACCTAATGAGTAGTTGTGAACAGTTGGTCTATCTTCGAAATGTTGCCTCAGCTCAACGCACTCACTGAAGGGGGCTGGATTTCAACCGCAGTTAAAATAGATTGTAGTGTCACTCTGCGGGCGCATCCGGTGGAATATTTGATTTTCGTGAACATAATGCCACTATGGTTTTTGCTCTCTGGAGCGTATTCTGTGACACAATCCCCGAGTATGTCCTCCTGAATAAGACAAAGGAAAAAGTGACTTTGGTTAGTAATATGAAGTTGTAGTGTGTGTTAAAAATATGTAGCATGTGTTCTGATAACTGGGTTTTGTTGGAGGTGAGGTATAAAAAGTGATACTTATGAATACTAGTGAGTGGCTTAGCATGTAGAGCATTGCCATTTGATGAGCTAAAAAATACCGGTGGGTTGTACATAAATCCCTGGCAACGAATTGAACAATACGCTAAGAAAGTTTACTATGCTTCGTTACGATAAGAAATGATGTTCCAAAGGTTTCGTTTAAGTGTACCTACACAATAGCATGTATTGAACAGGAGATTACAATCGCATCATGGAACTGTCATCGAATTCTCAAAGGCTCACGGTAAATTATAGCTTTCCAACATCGGGGTCGTCTGTAAGAAGACACGCAATCTCATCCGCGGATCGCTTGGTAACACAAAATGAACATGTACAAAATTTCATACAAAACTTAAATCGGTTCCTAAAAATGGTTGTCTTCCAATAAACAAAGTTATCTATAGTGGACGCTAAAACCCCTGCTTTGTTTGTTCATTTATTGCATTAGTTTTGAATCTGGTTTTCTCGTCCTGTTAATATATGTATTTAAACATTTAATCTCATTTAGCTAATAACCAGTAGCAAAGTACACTTAAACCTTCAGATTAAGAAATAAAGCTCTTTTTACATTTCAACTGCCGTACATTCTCATAAATACCGAAGAATTGCAACTTATTTTGCATTCTGTGTTGTGAAATATAAGAATTTAAATTGCGTGTGCAGTTCCGGTTTAAATGTTAGGTAAACTTTACTTTATGATCGCTTTTTTGGTGTTATGCTCAAAAAGTGGCTACATTTTGTTCAGCTACGAATTACACAGAAATGTTAATGAAATTACGTTGGAGGTTTGTCGTCATCGATTGTGTAACACGTCAGGACGGGGATAGAAACAGGGCAGAGAGCTTCCCAAATTTCTCCATTGCGCTTAGCCGAGCGATAAAAAATGGATGTTTGGGTGTCAACGGAAGGGAAAGAAATCGTGACGTAAAGTCAATTATTTTTGGACTATGTGTTGGACGTCGGGTAATAGAATATTTGCGGGTCTTATATTAGCACACAACGTAACTATAACACCTAGCTATGATGAAGAAATACATTGTGTCTCACTAACCCTACAAGTTCCTGGAGGCTTCGTAATAGTTTTGGACACTTATACAGAGCTGCCTAGGAACACAATTGCATGATAAATGATCAAGGTAGTTCTCAAAGCGACTCGGTCTGGCGTAAATGCAATAAGGCAGGACAGAAACGGTTAGTAGCTTGGAAGTGTCCCGTTTACTTCAAATCCAGACAGGCGCCGCAGAGTTGAATTGAGAAAACTCATTTACCTAACCGCTGTAAATAGGAAAAATCACTTTTAAGACGTCTGCTCTACATAGACAGTCTCAAAGCTATTTGATTGCGATTGTGTCTACAGGCGAAAGACTTTACTCCTATATTAACCGCTCCGTTTTGCGGACGACGGTCATGAAATGAGCGCAAATACGTTTTTCTTGGTGCATCCGTAGTAGGCAGAAAGCATAAATATTCAGTCTAGGTGTATGATTAGCACTCATTTCCGAACGAATCCGTTTGTAATTCCGATTGAATGTCTATACGGAGTAAAATCCGAGGACCATCGTAAATCGCGCTAATATAAATAACACACTGCAGCTGGATAGGTATCTAACGTCAACCGGTGTGCTGATCTAATACCAACAATCTGATTATTCATGATAGCAAACCACACATTGTGCCACGACGAACTGCGAATGCAATTTAAATGACAGAGTAATTATAATTAGAATAGTTCATTGAGTAATTAGGCTATTTGTTGTGTAACTCATTGGAATCCGGGCAAAGTTCCTCCATGGGATCGTTGAGAATGATTTAGCCATCATAAGCCCATTTATCTACATTACTGTTGACACAGCCTGAAAGTAGATGTAGGTTTTATGTAAGTATTAAATTCATCGACTTATCCTTTTCTCCAGATAGTCTGAGCTTACCGTGTTACCCCACTTGAGGAAATGGTGTGATTCCACTAAATACATCTGTATAAAAGTGCATTATGCTGAGTGGAATAGATCAGAAAGTATGGTTAAAGTTATTTCGTCTATGTCGGTAAAGAAAAACATTCGTCTTTCTAACTTCATTTATTATACATTTGACCCAAAATGAAAGCTAACTTTGTGCCGAATAAAAATTGAGCCCTGTATATAGATGCAGACATAATGCAACACATTCTCGAAGAACACCTTGCAACAGTGGACGTCGAAGTGCACAACGCCTACCCAAAACGCCCAGAACGTTATTTCAATGCCAAAGCATATTGTTGCATACCAAACTATCGATACTGCATGCATGTTTTATTTTTGTGGATAGCTTAGCCATGAAATTCAGTGGTTTCTGAGCTGAGACAGATGAGTTGGGTTGAAGTTAACGCAAACTATTAATTTACCTTCCGTGGCCAATGTAAGCCTGGAGCTAACGTCGGTAACCCCAGCTCAACTAATTACCTCATTAGATGAGTCAAAGGAATAGACTGAAATACACAGCGGACTCATTTTCGAGCTGCTATAATTAAATACGTCATTTTTACTAACCAATGCTACAATTTTGAGATCTGGCTTAATATTTGCAATGGAAAGTATCAAGTTACGATACGCTATAGAGTTTGAGTCAGGCGATATGTGCCGTTACAATCACAAGATGAAATAACGTGAACTGAACAGTGTGCTAACCAACTCTGTCTGTAAGTTAGCTGCAACTGTGTTCACGTGCATCGATTGATAACTTCGGTAACCACATATTCTACTTTTATTTTTCTCTTGTCGTTACTTGCACTGCTGTTTTTACCATGGCCGCTTCTGTAACACTGAAGCACTTGTCAGTAGCCGCCTTTTAACCACAGAGCTAAATCCTTGTTCACTATTAAGAATAATTGAAAGTTTACCATGGCATACCAAAGTAAAGCCGGAATTAATTGAAACGAATATCTTTGTCAAAACTGGGTCCAGCGCATTCGGAAGACGGCAGTCGGGACTGCGTATTTATGGGTTATTTTGCAAACACTCATTAGGTTATCCTTTCATTTTAACGCTCCTTACTGATCCAAAGTGGCGTAGTTGAATCCATTGGATTGAATTTTCTCCTGTTCCTTCAAATTCCTAGACTTAATCCTGGCTTGTTACTTCTTAAGGCTAAACTGCTTTCCTTGTGTTGGGTAGCCTAGACTATTGGTTCCCAGCAACGAGTAACTTCCCGCGAACATTCAGTAGACAACCGCCTGTGATTACTCGATTTGGTTAAGTGGTCTGAAACTTGGGCGATTTTAGATGGGATGCATTTCAGAAAGCAAAGATAATAAGGATGATTGCGTTAATTACTTGACTGATCTATCTCAGATACGGCAGCGCACAGAGGTAATAAAGTCCAGAATCAGATTATAAAGCAGATGGTTTTATGTCGACCGCACTACCCCGAGCAACATAAACGCGCCATAAATTACAAGACGACGTTACTTGACTCATTGTCTTCCTTAAAGCGAATGACACCCATTCATATCAAAGTAACTTAAGAAAAATAATAATTTATAAAAGCTAAAGCTTGTGAAACAGCAACAAATTAATTAGAATACCTATGCCACTCTGCATTTGAAGTCAATAGGTCAGAAATATGCAGTAAAGTCTGGAACTAGCATGTTTATAATATTCCCGTTTTATTAACTAAAATAATTGTTTTCCCGAAAAATATTAGAAAATCCCGTACTTGCTGGAAATCGTCACATAGAAACTACGGGTTACACTAAAGAAAGCATTTTTCTTGGTGCTGAAATGAAGAAAACCAAGAGCATAATTTGCCTGTTACTATTCTGGTATCTTTGGGAGAACCTTTTAATCCGTGGTACAATTGGTCAGTGTAGAAGCTGTGCAAACAGAAAGCCCGAAATTTAGGCGCAGTTACATCCAACGCGAATTTCCGGCGTATACCTTAGATTTTGACATTGACAAATCACAATTTGTCAAACAAATAAAATAGCTTCACGCAAGGCTACAACTCACTCATCACGCTTCCATTCCATTGCATTGTGTTCGAGGATCAACATCATGCACAATGTATGCCTAATTTTAAGCATCAACAACAAGTTGAATATCTGATACTAGAATAGACTGCGATTGAATACGTTGACGGCGGGTTGAAAGCATAATACAATTGAGTTGGATTAGCAGAAGTATACGCCATTTGTTAACAAAACTCAGTGTGGGCTTGGTCTAGTCCTGAAACGGATGCTGAGCTAGACTGTTATGCATGAAAAAGGGACATGTCATTTTAATGTGAAGTCAACCGGCTGAGCAAAAATGCCTAAATTCCGGTGGGATACGCCATTTTGTCGTTCAGTTTCCAGACAGTTATAAGAACAGTGAATTCGGTCTGTAAATTTTAATAAAACTATACAGCAAGCTTAAAATTTAAAATCAGTAAGAACTAGACCACGAAGTTTTCTCTCAGCTAAATCGAAGCCAAAATGCTAAGCCCCGTAAACCCGGTGACACTAACATCTGAATAATTTATAAAAATCTACACAGCTGCAGGTGACACAGGATTTCAGCCCGCAATTTCCTACATGATTGATCTGCATGGAACTCTGTTCAAGCGGCACTACCGCGAGCAAATTTTTCTCCGAAGTTTGCTTCTGGGGAGGATTCCGCACTATCTCCACAGATATACCATAACTTATGTGTACCAAATTACAAAGTTCAGTTATTTTCCTCGCAGAAGACCAGTTAAATAGCGGTCTGTCAAGCGTGTACAAGAGTACAATGAGTGTCACACTAACTACTTTAGGACACTGTCCAACACAAACAAGCTACTGATAGCTGCATACCAGCTTATATTTTGCTTCCTACTCTTGTGGTCCGTATTGATTAAAATGTTTACAACTTGGAAGGTTG